GCAATGATAGCGAATCCTGATTGTGATCGCTTTATGAAAACACAGGGACTAACTTGGTTGTTTTTGAATCCTTCTCTCATAAGGTATTCACTCAGACGGTTGTACCACATCCTTCCAGATTGTTTCAATCCATAAAGTGACCTTTTTAGTTTTATGGAAAGCAGTTGTCTAGGCTTGTGGTTTTCTGGTAGTTTTAGTCCTTCGGGGACTTTCATGTAAATGTCCGTATCGAGTGACCCATACAAATACGCAGTCACTACATCCATTAATCGCATTTGCAGTCCTTTTGTGACTGTCAAACTTACCAGAAATCTTAATGTAGTTGCATCAACCACTGGAGAATATGTTTCTTCATAATCAATCCCTGGAATTTGAGAAAATCCTTGGGCTACAAGTCTTGCCTTGTATCTAACTATTTCATTTTTCTCATTACGTTTTCTTACAAATACCCATTTGTATCCAACGGGTTTTACACCTGCTGGTGTAAGGGTTATTTTCCCAAAAACTTCTCGTTTTTCAAGTGACTTTAACTCAGCCAGCATTGCCTCCTTCCACTTTGGCCAATCACTCCTACGTCGACATTCTTCTACAGTTCTTGGTTCAACATCATTTTCATCAGACACGATGTCGATTGCGATGGAATTTGCGAATGTTTCATTAACGATAACATCTTTCCTATTCCACTGAGTCTTTGTAGAGACGTAATTCATTGAAATTTCATTGTTATCGATGTTTAGAACATCTTGTTCATTCCCCGTAGGGTTGTCTTCTTGTTCGTCCCCTTTTGGATTATCATCATTTTCTTTACTTTCATCCACATTTGGTCTTTCTTGACCTTCTGACGGGGGAACATTATTAGTCTCATTTTCTACTCCATCCAATCTTTTTAGTTTCCTTGGCTTAGAATCTTTTGAACCAAGTGGTCTTCCACGCTTTCTGCGTGCCTGAGATTCATTTTCTATGGCCTTATTACCAGTTGGGATTTCAATACGTGCAGGGGCATTTTCTGCTGGTATATGTGATTTTGTCACCTTCTTTGTGTCTACAAATGCATCGGGCAATTGATTTGCAACACTTTGTAAATGAACAATTTTCTTAACTTCTTGTTCACACATATTTGTTCGTGGGTCTAACATCAACAGTTGTGTTGCATTCCAAATGAGTTCAATTTCTTTCTTATGTGGGTCCACTTTCTCTCCCCCTAAGGCTGGGAATACTGTTTCATTAAAGTGACAGTCCGCAAATCTAGCCGTAAATAAGTCACCAGTCAATGGTTCAAGGTATTTAATTATAGAGGGGGATTCAAACCCGACATAAATTCCCAGCCTTCTTTGTGGACCCATTTTTGTTCGTTGGGGTGGAGCAATGGGAACATATACAGCACACCCAAAGATTTTTAGATGTGAGATACTTGGTTCTCGACCACAAACAAGTTGTAGTGGTGAGAATTTATGATAAGCTGTAGGTCTCAATCTAATTAGCGCTGCTGCATGTATTATAGCATGTCCCCAAGCAGATGATGGCAATCTTGACCTCATTAATAATGGTCTTGCAATCAATTGTAATCTCTTAATTAGTGATTCAGCTAGACCATTTTGTGTATGAACATGAGCTACTGGGTGTTCAACATCAATTCCAATTGACATACAATAATCATTAAATGTTTGGGATGTAAATTCCCCAGCATTGTCAAGTCTTATTTTCTTTATTGTATGATCTGGGAATTGTGCTCTTAATTTGATGATTTGGGCAAGTAATTTTGCTAAGGCAACATTTCTACTTGAAAGTAGACTAACATGTGACCATCGTGTAGAGGCATCAATTAAAACCATGAAATATCGAAATGGTCCACATGCTGGATTAATTGGCCCACATATATCTCCCTGAATTCTTTCCAAGAATTTTGGAGATTCAGTAGCAATTTTGTTCATAGATGGCCTTATTATTAATTTGCCAAGTGAACATGCAGAGCATGTTAATTCATCTGATCGGGGAATTTTGACATTTCTTATTGAATGTCCAACTGAATGTGCTATTATTCTTTGCATCATCCCAGTTGCTGGATGTCCCAAACGATCATGCCATAAAATAATCAAATGTTTGTCATCTAACTTCTGGTTAGATATCATATTGATTTCCACGGGTCGTATGTTTATACGGTATAACCACGAAGAGTATGCTGGCAATTTCTCATATATATGTTTCTTGCCATGTTTTTCTGCCGTGAGGCATATATACTCTTTTTGATCTGTCGTCATTGTTTCTAGATGATAGCCATTTTGGCGTACATCTTTAAAGCTTATGAGATTTCTTCGAGATTTACTCGAATATAAAGCATTATTGATTATTAATTTTGTTCCATTTGGAAGCATTACAAGCCTTTCCAGATCCTTCAATTAATTTAGCTGACCCGGAAATGGTGTTTACATTTGCTTGAAACAACTTTAGTTGTGAAAAATATTTTCTATCTTTTAAGATAGTATGTGTTGTTCCACTGTCCAAAAGGCATTGATATTCGGAACTAACTTCAGGTAGATCCATATCTTCATAAAATAAATTTAAGATTAGTTTAGAATAATATCATACAAACTTTTATTGATGATAAAGATTTAAAGTACATGACTAGAAATTTAAAATACAGGGAACTAAGAAAATACATTAAAACATAGCATATGTTACATTAGTAGATGGGGAACCTAAGCATTGTTGTTTTCTCCAAGAATGAAATCATTCCCAGTTTCAGCATTGTCCATGAAGAAATCGGACACATCAAGGGTAGGACATGGAGCATTTTCTTCATTAACATAATTTGCTTCTGCATTTTTCTCTTTGCCTTTTACAGAAGCCTGGTAAAGGTCTACCAAATGTTTGGCCGTACGACAAGTACGTCCCCAATGTCCTGTCATGCCACCTCTGTAACATGTGTCTTTTCCTTTTGAAAGAGTTTGTTTGTGGCTTCCAGATGACTGTCCCTTCTGTTTTTCAAAATTTTTGAAATTACTTTGTTTCTTTGAAAATTGTTTCTACCACGTCCTCGGCCTCGTCCGCGATAATTTCCACGGCCTTTTCCACGGCCATTGTAATTTCCACGTCCACCTCTTCTTGTAGCATTTAACTCGGGTGGATAGGAATTTGTTGCATTTGCCTCATGATGAGTGGCCAAAGACCTAGTTGGTCTCAGGTTATGATTTTTCAACAAAAGTTCACTATTTTGTTCCGCAACAAGCAATACACTCATTAATTCATTGAACTTTTTAAAACCTCTTTCACGATACTGTTCTTGCAACAGTATGTTACTTGCATGAAAGGTAGTGAGTGTTTTTTCAATCATCTGTTCATCCGAAACTGGATGATCACAGTATCTCAATATAGACACTATCTCATGTATGGTTGAATTATAATCAATTACAGATTTGAAATCCTGGAACCGTAAATTTGTCCAGTCAAATAATGCCTTAGGAAGGAGCACCCTTTTGTGGTGTCCAAATCTTTCATTAAGGCAATCCCATAATTCTTTGGGATCTTCAACCATCATGTACTCAGTTTTAAGGCCTTCATGTAAATGATGCCTTAACAACACTAAGGCTTTTGCCTTATCTTGTTCAGTAACAGGTTTTGCAACTGTCATTGCAGAAGTGGTAGTATCAGTTGTTTGACCAGAGGGACTTTTATTTTCTTTAACAGTGTGCTCCAAGCCTTGAGCTTTCAAATTCATCATTGCGTCCACTTTCCATTCCAGAAATTTCTTTCCAGATAAATCTAAGATGCTGAACTGTCTTTTCATAAGGTCTCCCATTTTAGCTACAACAAATTTCGTGATAATTAGTTTATAATAACAAATTATATGTACAACTCACATGTTTAGTTCTTCCATATTTATAATTAAGTTAATAAGACACGTGATAATTAAATTTAATAATAATAAACCATAAATAATATAGTCTTTTCTCCCCCTTGGTTTATTATTGTGAGTAATTATATGATTAGACAAAAATTAATCATGTTAGTTGCAAAAAAAACAGCAAAACGACAACAATGACAGTAGTAACAATAATTATAATGATAACGGTAATATTATACAATGATGATTAATAACAACAAACATACATAATAAAACAAAAACAAGCTTTTAATATACTAAAACGACAAAATAAGTGAGTTTTACTTATACATAATGACAAAAATTAATATTGCTACTAATAAAATTACAAGCGCCGTAATTAGAAGGAAATATTGTTTTATCTTCATTAAATCTTCCTCAAAAGTGAAGTTGTGGGTGTTTTGGTTGCCGTCGTCGGGGAACATATCGGAGAAGAAGGGGGTGAAATTTTTTTTTTTTTTTTTAGGTGATTTTTGGATAAAAAGTGGGAAGGGATAAGGGATTTGTGGTGAAATTGGGGAAAAAATCCGTCTTTTATAGAGGTAGGTTTATCCGTTACTGTTCTGTACAACTGTAAAAATATCATATAATAGTCTAACGTACTGGCATAAAATTATGGTCCATATATATATATATTTATAATTGTAAAAGGTTATCACACTGGGAATGCAAGCCATAGTGGTCCGAGAGCCCTAATATCTATAAAAGATCATGGGTTCGAAAACGGAAAGAAACACAAAAAGTATGTAAAAGTAAGAAAAATAATAAGTATAAAAGGCTGCATCTTTTTGTTAATCTAGTAGAGAACTTTCACCGTTGTTTTTGAGGTATATATATAGTAAATGTTTGAGTTTCTGTTATAGAGGATCCCAAATATGGGCAACTATAGAGCATACTCCTCGAAACATTTAGAAGTAGATAGTATTATTTGTTATAAATTTATAGAAGTAGGTATAAATATACCTGACTGAAAACTGGTGCTGATAACGTGTTAAAGAATTTACCGATAGAAAAGTTTTGATAAAAGGAGTAAAAGAGTGAAAGAAGATGGGTGAAATTGTTGTAGTGTTATCGTTGTATTCTTACCTCTATGGCAGATGATTTATGGTATGTGTTTAACCTTATCAAGAACAACACAGCTGGCATAATTACATGGAACAAAAATAGCACGAGAACAATCAAACAAACAATGGTCCTCTTCCCCTCCAAAATACACATACTATTAGTTCATAGTATCACAAATTTCGTGGGTTTTCGCTTTTATTACAAGCAGTATTTTGGATCGGATTTTATAGCTGATTGATTGATTGACTGACCCCAAATTTAGGATTTTTAATTGGGTTTGGTGAACTTTGAAAGAAACTGCAAGAACAACTACAACTACTGCTACAAAAACAGTTTCTGGGATTTTGGAGAGAGAAAGATAGCCTCAGATCTGGGTAATAAATCTTGTTGGACTTTAATTTTTTCAACTAAGGTGAACATTCTTGTGATTTCTGACCCCTTTTTGTTGTGTTTCTTTTTCATGACTTTGCCTTTTTATGCTTACTTTTTCTAGTTCTTGTTAGTTCATAAATTTTATTAGCCTTTTGCTTTCTGGGTTGTTGAAGTTTTTTTCTGGATCACAAGATTATGAAATTTGTGGTGTGTGATTGAGTGAGAAAGAGGGGAAAATTGGGCATTTTTTGATTCTTTTTTAAACAATTGTTTTATTTTGGGTGAATTTTTTTGTGAGTAGAGCTAAAGAAGCATGGGAATCTCATTTTCATAGTTAGATTGTTGTTTCTTCATTGTTCTGCAATTTGGGGACTAGATTTGCTGTTTAATTCTTGCTATTTGAAGGTGTGAATGAATCAAAATTAATAGATTTGTGGTGCCCAGTTTTTGCAGTTCATCTTTATAGCTATTGAGATTGGTCAACTTTTGTGGTTCTTGGTGATTTACGCTTCTGGGTATCTGGAATTAGGTGATTGCCTTTGTTTCTAAGGGATCATGTGAAGAGAGAGAGAAAGGGATAGAGAGAAAGGCCGAGACCGAGGTGGGGTGTGCTTCTGGTTGAGGGTTTGGATAATCAGATTGATCACAATGGGGAAAAGGGATTGGGTCGATGACATAGCACGAGCAATGAGTTTGCGGTTATTTGTAATGGGTACTCTATTCATTAGTGAAGTGAAGATTCTTATTTCTAGTAGATTACTAGGCTAAGCAGATACAGTTTTAGGTTTCTTACGAGCTTATATTGTGATGAAGACGGAGGATTCTTCTTTGATAGGAGACGATAGCTCCTATTGTGAGAATCCGGTAGTGAACTTGGTAGTGGTGAAGGAGCCCTTGTGTGAAAAAGAGAACAACCGAGAACCTAATTCATCTAGAGGGTTAGCTGAAATTGATAGTTGTTGTGCTTCTAGTGATAACATTGATCAAGAAAGCGGAGAGGAAGGTTTATATTCAAGTTCTCAGTCTGTGACTAGTGATAGAAGTAGCAGCATCAATGGTGAAGAATTTTTGGCATCCGAGCCTAATTCTTTGCCCCAGTCACCTGCTTCAGTGGATCTGGATAAGGGTATTCAAGAATCTGAAGTCACAATTGCTTCCAGCAAATTGGAATTAAAATCTGGGCTGGAGCCTATTGGAGATGTATTGGCAGTGGCAGAGGATCTTGATGTGGAGGGTAATGATTTACGCAATTCAACCTTGTTGCCTGGAGATGAAGTAAATCACGAAAAGATAGTCAGAACAATGAGTAGCCAGTGTGCTTTTGACATGGAATCTGTGCCCCTTTGGGGGTTTACATCTATCTGTGGTAGAAGGCTGGAGATGGAAGATGCACTTGCAGTTGTGCCGTGTTTCCAGAGATTTCCTGCTAAAATGTTGATGGGTGAAAATACAGTGAATGGTATAACTGAAAGTATAAGCCAAGTTGCGCACTTCTATGGTGTATATGATGGACATGGGGGCTGTCAGGTATACAGTCATCTCTTCTTTCCTTCAGTTAGCCTTTGTTTGACTTGTTTTTGCTTAAGAGCCTTTTTTTGGTTCTAAAGAATAAATAAAGTATAGTTTACATTGGAAACTTTCAAATCTAGGAGGAATCGTCAAAATAAAGATTTGTGCTATGTATAGTGATATTATTGTATATTTGTGTGAATGGCTTGTCATCTTATGCCACTTGCTTCTCAGGTTGCCAATTATTGTCGGGATCGTTTGCATTTAGCATTGGCAGAGGAAATTGAAGTTGTAAAAGAGAGCTTCCTGAGTGGAGGATCTGGGGAGGATTTGCAACAGCAATGGGAGAAGGCTTTCTCTCGTTGTTTTTTGAAAGTGGATGCTGAGGTTGGGGGAGTCAAGCAAGGGCCTGAGGCTAGTGTAGAACCTGTTGCTCCTGAAACTGTTGGGTCAACGGCTGTTGTAGCAATTGTTTGCCCAACCCATATCATAGTTTCTAATTGTGGAGATTCCAGGGCTGTTCTTTGTCGTGGGAAAGCACCCATGCCATTGTCTGTAGATCATAAAGTAGGTCACTGTTCAGCTTAATTTATTCTCTTTTTGCTATTTTGTTTTTGGTTAAAGATGGTTTCGGAAAAATTGTAGCTCATTTTGTTTTTCCTAATTGTTTCTAGCCTGATCGAAAAGATGAGTGGGATAGGATAGAAGCTGCAGATGGCAAGGTTATACAGTGGAATGGCTACCGTGTCTTTGGTGTTCTTGCTATGTCAAGATCAATCGGTAAGATTTTCTTTGCTGGTTACTAAAATCTAAATGCTATCTTTTATTTAATAATGCAGCTCTGCAAGTTCAAGGCCTGAAGGAAGAATTTTACCTCTATATTTTTAAAATTTTAATAAGGAGTTTGTGTTCCTTATACCATATACGGAGTACCGTAGGCTTTCGTAATTTACTGCAAATATGTTTGTGTTCCTTGTATACTGTGTGTCTATTATGTTAGCCAATTAAGGCAACATTGTTGTGGGAGATTTTTTAGCATTTAGTGGTGGGTGACTTGGTATGGCTTACTCATGCTGCTAACAGGGATTTAGCTAATATAGTAACTTCACCTTGTACAGTTGTACATGGATTTAAACATTCCTGTTTGTTGGGGCTTTGGCTACAAGAGATGTGGCTTTTGCCAATATGTGAATTTTGAATTAAATGGCAGGTGGCGAATTTGGTGCGACTATTTTTTTTTTTTTTTTAAATACAGTTATCTAAATATCTAGTCTCTTGGGCCAAGGAGTGATTCAAGCCAAGATGTTGAGAACCATTGAGATAATTGGATCTTTTAGATAAAGGTGTCTATGATTAGCTGATAATTCCTGTTGTGGTTTATATGGTTGAGTTGTTCATATATTGGAGAAGTTCCCTGGAGTAAGTTGTGGAAAGAGGATTCGAATATTAATGTTCATACAAGGCCACAATATTATCAGATATTTGAGCAGTATCAGCTTTTATTGGGTGCAGCTTCAGGAATTGAGACACTTAAGAATTTGGTTATTGATCATGTTCTATTGGCATCTGGTTGGTTATATTGCCTCGTTTTGATTTCCTATTTAAAACTCCCACAAGATATTGTCTGATATTCAGTGTGATTGGTACCTGAATATGTATTATAGGAATGATTGGTACATTTGGGTCCTCGAATCTTTCTAGCAATGCCTTGTCAAAACATGAATGGTGGAATATATGAATTGACAATTGAGCACTGACCTTTCAAGGTGATATAATTATGATGGCTATTTTTCTAGACTTTGATTGAGTATTCTTAAGTACTTTGCAGTCCATCTGTGTTTGTGCCTAGTGAGTGGTTGAACCGTTCTCTTGATTTTCTTTGTCGATGAATGTTCACCTTAAGCAACTTAGAGGCTTAGACTGAATCTTCCAATTATGGCTTTATGTCATAAGGCAACAGGATGCATTTTGTTCACAACTTACAAAATAGAGCGAGTTGGACAAACTGTAGTGCTATTTGCACTTCTTACGGGTAGAAATACTACTTGAAAATGTCAATTAGTTGAAGGTGTACAACAAAAGTGCCATTATTTAAAGAAAGGCCATATACCAAAATTCTTCTAGGATATCTATAGGGAAGCACTGAGTAGCCACAGTTGAAGACATAAACTTGCCCATGAGTTTTTGGATTGTAGGCCTTAAGTTCATTAATGCTCGAAGTAGTTTTGCAGGATCAGACTTTGGGATAGTATGGATCATGAAATTGGCTTTAAAACTTTTCGAATGGTTTTTGTCTATCCGGATTGCTGCTGTTTACATTAAAGGTAGTCCTAGAGTTGTCATACATGTACCATAGAGTAGAGTAGAAAGGCATATTCTGCACTTTGAATATCTGATCGTCAGTGAATACTTTAGAGACTTGCCCATTGTCAGACTTGTTCATCTTATGAACATTTTCCTTTCTAATTTTTAGTTCAAAATGGAGCTTCAATATCAATATTTGAGTATCTACTTATGCTCAGTATGAGTGCTTGTGATATGAAGAAGCTAGGTCTATGGGTGTTGGATTTGACTACCTGTAGCAGTGTCTAACACAGATAGGTGTCTAAGTGTTGGATGTGTATATAATTGAAAAATTGGATGATTTTGGTCCAAATTGAAGTATCAAGTGTCAGAATGTTGAATATCCAACATAGATGCTGAATCGAAGTGAAGAATCTGAGCTGTCTAATGTTTTATGAGTAACAATGGCAACATTTTAACCCAATTCAGGGTTTTGTGATGTAGCTAGATCAGCATATATGTTATACGTTTAATGCATTAGGATGACTGAACAAAATATGTTGCTGCCTTTTAAAGTTTTCAGATTGCTGATACTGATTGATATACAAAGAAGTCACTTCATCAATTGAATAAACAAGATGTGATTATTCCTCTTATATAAGCTAGTGATTAAGTACATTAATGGGTTGTCATATTAAATGTTATGGAGATCCATGCATCAAATGATTGCCCACATGGATATTGAACTTTCTTGGCACTTTGTTCATAGATGGGTAAAAGTAGTTGACGATGGAGGCTTATTCACTTTATGTATAAATACTTGCAACCAAAATTCTAAATATAGATTCTTATTTTACTCGAATTTCTTTCAGGTGATCGTTACTTGAAACCATGGATTATACCAGACCCAGAAGTGACAATAGTTCAGCGGGCTAAGGATGATGATTGCCTTATTCTTGCCAGTGATGGTTTATGGGATGTCCTGAGCAATGAAGAAGCCTGCGATGCGGCACGAAGGAGAATTCTGCTTTGGCATAAAAAGAATGGCACTAATATCATTTCGGATAGAGGCAAGGGCGTTGATTTGGCTGCTCAAGCTGCGGCAGATTACCTCTCCAAGCTTGCTCTCCAGAAAGGAAGCAAAGACAACATTACCGTCATTGTGGTTGACTTGAAACCTTATAGGAAATTCAAAACTAAAACATGAAACATTTCAAAGGTTCACCTTTATTTTGGCAAAATGTTAATTCTTTTTCTTTTCTTTTTTTATATTTTTATTTTTTTTCTATAATTTTTTTTGCTTCTTTTGACCTGTAGTTTGTATGAGGTAGAAATATCTGTCAGCTCTCAGAAGCATCACATAATCTTGGATTGTAACATATATTTGTAAGCCCATCTTTTTAAAATGGGCTGATTTGGAGCTCAAGAACATGTATAGTATATTTCAGATAGAGCTAGCAAGAATATCCTAGTTTCTGTTGGTATAAGTTCTAACTAAGAACAACTTTATGAACAGTTTCTCTAAGAAAAGCTCTTTCCATGCAAATTGAATGTGAGGAACTCTCTAGTGCAATGTTCAGGTTCAAGTCTCTGTTGCTGATCTTCATATTCGCGTGTTAAATCTTGTGGAAGCATTGTTTGGGAGATCTACACCTAATATTTCGTGTCTTTTGTTTTCAGTAATTGGATGATTTTATATTATGATTCTTGAGAAAGCAATGAAGGGGAAGGTAACATGAATGTGATTGCCATGTGCAATGTTTCCTGGTTTGATGTAAAAGTTTTGTAGCATTGATCTAATAGAATGATACGAAGTAGCAGCATAGCTTGTAGTTCTTTGAAATTGGGATCGCAAATGGCAGAAATATATTGATGGTGGTGGTGAGCTTCATTTTCATGAAGTCTCATTGAAACAGATTGAAGCTTTTTTTCCTTAAAATGGCAAATATAGAAACATGAGAAATGACATAAAAAGACTTGTTACATATTAACAAGTTTATCACAGAAATAAACTTGTATTTCCTCTGAAGTATTTCCATAGTAAAACTCATTTTTATAAAACAGGCGGAGAAAAGAAAGGGTGATCAATGAAAAAAAAAAAAAAACTCCTTACGGTATAGTTTTCAGAAAACCAACCACAACGCCAATCCGGGGAACCAATGCCCAACAGAATACATCAAATAGTGTAGTTCAAGCATCGAGTAATGCCCATAAAGCTCAGCAATATCAAACAGTGTAGTTCAAGCATCGAGTAATGCCCATAATTTAGCTTAGCAATACACATGTGCATGAAAAATTGACAAAACATTGATTCCTTCAAGAGTAAAAACCTAAAGTTGACAGATACTGCAGTTGGACAGCTGATCATTTCAATGCTGAAAACTGCATCAATCAAAAGCTTTCTGTCATGAACAAAAATACATATTCCTAACTCTAAAGTCTCATGGGCTCATGGCATTAGCACCCTTCAACATCCATCAACTTCTCAAGCATTGTGTGGTTTTTGGGACAAGAATTCCGCATCTAATTTCATTTGCTCTGATAGAACATTGCCTCCATAGTGTTTTGTACCTAATAATTGAAGTCCAAATTCCAGAAAAGGAGTTATGCGCCCGAGACCACAAAGAAATATATACATTTTTAGCTACCATATGTTGTCATGATTGCTAGATTCAATTAGCTAGTGTTTGGTTACTCAAATTTAACTTGCATTCTTTGAATTCAAATCCAATTGAAATTCTGAAATTGAATTCCAAATTAAGTGCTATGCAGACACTAATAATTTCAATTCCAAAATTTCAATACATTTTTAGCATTTTATGCCTAAACTTAAATATATAGTTAATTACACCATTATTGGTGTTCCAATTCTAGCCAATATAGCCAATAAATTCCTCCGCTGCCGCTGCCAGTGTTTGAGGAGAAGCAAAGGAGGCAGAGATAAACCGAAGCTTGAGAGCGTGAAAAGGATGTACAACTATTGGTGGAAAAGTGAGAATTGTTGAGGGAAGAATGATAAAGGAGTTCAAACATAAACAAAAAACACCATTGACAGAGTTTTCATATCTTTTAATGGTAAAATATTGCCGCCAGTGGCGGCTTTGATTGATTTAATGGTGATGGCATAAAAAGGAGAGAGATGGACGGAAGGAGGACTGGAGGAGAGAAGAGATAGAAAGGGGCAAAGGAGAGAGGAGTGAGAATGACAAGAAATGAAGAATTTGAAATGAAGAGTGTAGGAGAGTAATTTTAAATTTTTATTTCTCAACAATGTTTTAGTTTGTCTTGGATTTGGATCAAATCCAATTCCAAATTTTTTAATCTGCCAAACACTTGATATTCAATTTAGGATTTCAAATGAAATCTCAACACCCAAACAGAGCATCAAGGATTTTCATGACCAGCTTGCTATTCCTTCTAATTGAGGCCATACTTCCGACTTCCTAGGTAATTTGTCACCTTTGAGGCTTTGACTCAACTGCATTGAATAAATTTTAACAAGTAACATTTTACTAGTATCAAATCAAAGACTTACCAGAACAAATCCTACAAGGTTGTGAGTGGAGATCCAGCATTTGAGAAGTATGACGCCAGATCAATATGCAAGTCATCATACATACTGAGGAAAGGATGTTCCTGAATAACATATGAAACCAGCCAGTACTTTGTAAGGTTTGCAGAACAAATTGCTTCAGACCCAAATTAATTACGAAGTATATGTATGAGGAGAGCAAAAAATTGAGCCACATACCATTAGCTGTTGAGCTGAGAGCCTAGCCTTTGGATCTTTCTGTAAGCTGAGTATATAAACAAAATTTAGCATAGAAAAATTATAAAGCTAATGCAGATTGCAAGAAATGCAAGGTATGATTTGAAATTTGCTACATCAGGATACTCTCCAATTTTTTGATTTTAAGTTAAATGTTGTCTCAAAAGTCCTAGGATGCACAAGCACACACATTATATTGGGATTGTCCATGGATTGCTAGAGCCATACCTGTTGGGTTTAATTTTCCTATGGAAAACACATTAACTAATTCAGCGGTTTACACGATCGGCAAGCCTGAAGTCAGGATTTATTACTACTGCCATTGCAAACTTGAGTCCGTAAATAATGTTTGTCAAAGTTACTAGATTTAGAAGGAAGCCTTAAATTAAAACTGCCCTACAAAAGACAGCCTATACAGGAATGGTCTTCTATACACCTGCCCTCTGCAAAGAAGAAAATGAGTCCAATGACCAGAAAGATCTATTTTTTTTGTTAAGCCTAACTGTGTGGGTGCATGGGTGGTTTGGAGAAGGATGTTGTGGTGGCTTAGTAAGCAAAGGGCTCCAAAGGCTATGCTCCACAATACGAACACTAAGTAGGCAAGATGCCATTGATTATTGCGGTATGTTATACAGATTGAGGGAGGCAGAAGGTGCAAGGCTGTGCAACAAACAGTTTCTCTATGTGATCAATACTTTAGTGGACATATGATACTCTAAAGTTAATGATCACAGTGAAGCAAGTTGTTTCTTATAATTCAAACCACAACTAGACTTTTGGCATAAGAGCACTACATGGCTTAGCACATTAATTTTTAACCACCAAAACAGCCTGCAATATCCATGCTACTGACACTACTATACTGACTGTCAGCAATCTGATGCAAGCATCCTTGACAGGTTGAAATGTCAATTGTCTTGTTTATTCTCATGACATCACTTGGAAAAAAAAAAAAATTCAAAATATCCCGCAGTGGGTCCTCCTCTTGTTCTGGTGGGTCTTTCACTTTGTTCAGTGTGTAAATAGTACTATGTATAAAACTTTGGACTATCTTCAGAAGGTACCCGAAACATTGAAGAAATGTCAGGTTGAAACCTGATGCAACAATCCTTCACAGGTTGAAATGTTAATTGTCTTGTTTATGATTTCTCATGACATTGCTTTCAAAAAGGGAGAATTGACATGAATACTCCAGTGTTCACCCATTTTCTAATTAAACCCCACCTTTGATGATACAAAACATTTAAAAATAGGCCGCAGTGGCTCTCTCTCTCTCTCTCTTACATTTTCTAATTTTGTAAGTCAAATTATATATGCAAGAGCTCACAGTATTTTGTGGATGGGAAAGTAAAAAGTACCCTTCACAAATTTTTAATATATTTGTCCTTGGAATGAAATGCTTCCAAAACAATATATTACTTGACGAGAGAGAGAGAGAGAGAGAGCGAGGGAGAGAGAGAGAGATACCACGAGGATACAAATGAACAGAACTCAGGAGAAAACAGGTCAGAGCGAGCACAAGGTGGTGGCTGCTCAATAATGGTCTGCATAATTGAAAAATAATTAATCCAACAATCATCTTCATCTGGTAGTGGGTAGGGAAATTTTCCTGTTGCACATTCTAGCACAACCAAACCAAAGCTCCAGATGTCACTTTTGGCATTATAGTTTTCTTCACTGAATCTCTCAGGCTGCATAACATCAATGCACATGGCAATTTAGAGAGATCACCAGACAGCTGTCAGAACCTCAAAACAGACTCGTGAAATCGTATGCACAATAAATCATATTAAGGTAAAACTTACAGCCATATAGTGATACGTCCCGATTCTAGTGTTAGCCTGGGCGGAAGTACTTGCAACAATTGCACTAACACCAAAATCAGTAATCTTGACTTCTCCTCTATGATTTATCAACAAATTTGACGGCTTTAAGTCTCTATGAATGATGTGCTTCTCATGATGAAGATAATACATACCTCTTACCACCTAAAAATGTAGAATCAATCAGATGTTATCAAAAGTAAAAAATAGGACAAGAGAACACATTAGGAAATTGAAGACATCATCTAATATGCTTAGTTTATTATTGCATACTATCTACCTGTTTACAGATGGCTGCAAGATACTCTTCTGGGATAGTTTTTACTTTTTTCAATAAGTCTACAAGGGATCCACCATCCATGTACTCCAGAATTATTGAGAAAGCCTCATTCTGGTAAAAACACTGGTAGCAGGCAACAACATAGGGACATTCAAGTGACTGATTGATTTTCAGTTCTTGTGCGGTCTGCTTGCGAGCAGACTCTTCAATGTTCATCTGAATAACCTGAAAGTAAGGTTGTATAAATAAATAAACTGCCAAAATAAGATACATCATATTACTAACATAGTCAACATAGGCCGTAGGGGTTAATGATTCCAAATATCAGATTTCTAAAGTCAGAATTTAAAAAGTCAATAAGATCAATATATAAAATGCACCATCAATTTTGTTCAAGATCAAATCTAAAATGGACAAACATTTAGAGGTTGTCAGGTTGGTCAAGTGAATAAGTTAGAATTCCACTTGGAGCTCATTAAACCAAAACTGAGATCCTAGGCTTCTCAAAGTACCAGTCCAACGTGCATAATTTGTAATCAACTTCATTCATGAGGCAAAGGGGTAGGGATCAACAATTCCAGAAAAGTACATTAAATGTCCTGAACCAGGACATAGAGATCTACCCAATTAAAGAGTTGGTAACAATTTATTCTGAAAATTCAGCTAGATCACTAAATTAGTTACAGAATTGAACTAACTAAAGACAGGGGATTGACCCAAGCATTCCGGATTGGGCCTTGTTCGGGCAAAAGCTTTTTGGAGAGCTTTTAGCTTATTGAGGCCTGTTAGAGCCTTACTGACAAAAGCTACATTGGGAGTTTGGTAAACTGCTTATTGAATGAGATTTTTGGGCTTACAAAATTCTTTTTGAAAATGCTCATAATAGGATCTTTTTGGTTTGTTAAGCATAAACATTTTAGTTATCACGTACACTGAAACAGCTTAAAATTAATAGCTACCAAACATACTTAAACAACCAGCCAACTAGTCAAATCAGTTATACAACCAATTATATCACTAGCTAACAGCTAATTACCAAACAGGGCCTAAATCAATAGTTTTGCATTCTTGAATGATGTTCAATGTAATGATGCCTTCAGTACACCAAAAATATAAACATTAAGGTAAGGAGGTTGATGGAGATAAATTAGAGAGAAAAAATGGGTAGTGAGTGTGTGTCTCAAGGAGGATGAACAGGGGGTAAAACCATAAAAGTAGAATGTAAACTTTGATTTGAGGATTTTTTTTAACTTCACCACCTTTAAAAAAACCCCTATGCCTGGAAATGCCATGGGCCATGTCGTTACTCTCCTTACATTACCTCTTTCTAGGGGGCTTGGTTTTGAAGTAATTCACTTGAAATTATGGCAGAAACACCACTAGATGGGGGTTTTGAAGTAATTCACTTGAAATTATGGCAGAAATTAAGGTTTGAAGTAAACTGTTGGACAACCAGATTTCAATGTGAAGTGGAAAAAAAAATGGTTTGGCAAGGGGTTTGATCCCGCGCCAAGCTAGTGATTGTATTTCAATTAAAGTACTTGACTACTGAGTTACGGACATTCATAGTGTTACACAGTACTTTCGTTTATATTTAATTTATATTTTTGTTTCCTCTGAATTACGAATTTTCTCCCGAATTCAATATGGGTTCAGCTGCATCAGAATGCATTGAAAACCCTACAACCTTCTAGTCTAGTAATTTCTTACCTTCAAAGCAAAGAACTGGTTAGTCCATTTGTGCTGTACCAGCTGCACAAGTCCACCACTACCTTTGCCAATGACCTTAATCGTGTCTACATCAGCCAAGCTTATCTGGTTGTCCAACGGCTTGATGGGGGGAGGAGGCTGAGGAAACAAATCAGATGATAGTGAGCAGTTATTTATTTATCAAACAAAATCAAGACTAAGCGCTAAGTTGCACTTCATTATAGGCATTAAAAAGAACATTGAATGCTGGAAAAGAATGGCTTTTGGTGTCCTTAATGCTTATTATAAAACCAAGTGTCGATGATTTTAATTAGTTAACTACCATTCTTGCACTTTGGGGAAGGGAAGAGATTGAGCAATAAGAGTTTTCCACATGCCAAATTAAAGAGTTTTTTTTTTTTTATAGAGCCTAGTCGTGCTAACATTGCCCTTCATATGAAATAGTTTATATATAAGAGAAAAAAGGAATCATTTTGATGTATATATATTTCTTAAAAATATTTAATTATGAAGTATTATTTTTTAGCAACTAGAAAGTTAAAAACACTCTTTTGGTATATAAGATGCATGAATATTTTTGTCTATACATGGCAAAATCCATCAAAGGAAAGAAGAAGTATCATCAAGGCAGAAATTAGGATAAGCCACTAAAATCTCTTGATAAGATCATCACAAGCAGCACAAACAAGTCAATGTACCGAACCGTACCCAGTCACCATCCAATTTCCGGTCATATGGATTCCATAAGGGAAGAGGGAAATTAAGTAGGTCCAGTGTATACTGAAAGGCCAGCTTGTCACTCCCTTTTATTGATTAGACATTTACTAAATTGTCATTCCGTTATACGAAATAAATTAGAAAAATCCGACAACTTAGCGAAATTTACTTCGTATTTTATATAATTTGGTTCCTTATAATCCAAATCTAACAATGTAGTTCGATAATTAATTTATTCAACTGTGTAGGAGCTAACAATCATACCTATGAACAAAATTATGCAACAAAATTATGCAATTTAAATTAAACCTTTCCTTTAAAAACAGTATAAGAAATTTATGATGAAATTAGGAAATCTCGATCATTTCGATTCATTTACAGCTTTCTAGGTTTCTAATCAAAATCTCTAGTAAGGAATTAGAAATCCTTTCACAACAATTACTTCCGCCATTTCATTTCACAACATCAAACTTAAATTTCAATCAACAGTATTAAGATCAGAAAATTGAATTAAACTTGAATAATTAAGTAGTTGGTAGAAAAGTAACTTACAGCATCAGAATCAGTTTGAGAAACAATTCGAATTCCATCCAAATTAACCAGAAGATCGCCATGACGAAATGTACCACTTTGAGTTCTACCAAAAAATCAAAATCAGAGAAATTAAAATGATGAAGAATACAAAATGAAATACATTATCATAATCAAGTAATTGAAGGAAAGAATTACAGAAATTTGGCAAGAGAATCTTCATCAGGAGGAACATCGAGCCTGAGATTGAAGCCGCCTCTGTTGGGCATAGTTGGTGTAGCTGAAGAGAAGATTGAGAGAGAGAGAGAGAGAGAGAATGATTTAGGAGAGAGAAAGAAGAGAAAAGTCTAACGAAGTCGTCGTTGTTGATTTGATTAAGCAGAGGGAGAAATTTGAAAGAAAATGCGGTGGGTTTTGACATGTCAGATTCATCATAATTGACGCGGATATATACGAGTATATACAAAGTAGGTACGGTCTACGGAGTTGATGATTTCTCTCAAGTGGAGTGGAAAAAGGAAAATTTGGGACCTAGGCCACTAACACTCTAGCAGTCTAGCGGTATCGATTTATCGGTTCGCTTTGGAAAGGTCATTTTAGATTTAAGTCGTGCAACATTAGTTTACCTATTAAGGGCTTGTTTTATTCAACTTAATTTTACTTCAGTTTAATTAAATTTCTAATTTCTTTCTTACATAAACAATTCATTTCAGTTCAGTTTAGCTCCAATTTGGGCTGTTGAGAATGAAATTTTTTCCCTGCAGGCGAATGCATGATGCTTCGTGCATCCAGATTTGTTTTATAAAAAAAAGTGGAAACACCGTTTTCTTGTTTCTTGTTTTTGGTTTTTAGTTTTAAAAAAAAACAGAAAACTAAAAACCAAAAATAATGTCAAACAAGCCCTAATTTGTTTGTATTCTTTTTTCAAAATGTAATAATTTGTCGGTTACTTCAAGAACTTCTAGTTCCTCATTGCAACACCAAAACCACATAATCACAAATTTACACCAAGAACTTGAAAAAAAACTACCAATCGAACTCAAATTGAACAACTATGCATGTCGAAATTGTACTTACCTTTTGTTTTCGTCAGCCATCTTGAACAATTTTGCACCAAGAAGTTTGAAATTAACGATTTCTTTATTAAGGTTTGATGAACTTGAAGTGGTTTTCAATTTTTTCTTTTTTGGGAGAGAAATCTTGTAGAGAGAGAAAAATTCTAGAGAGAGGTATAGGTTAAAATGATTTAAAATTACTGTATGGTAAAAAAAATAACTATTATTTATCTTTTTGCTTTTTTACAATAAAGAAGCTCAATATAACTCGTGTACATTAGAATTGAACAATATGTTCTTTCTATAACCATGTACATTCCGCAGGACCGCAGCGGATGCACCATGTGGATCGTGCATCCGCCTGCAAGAATCACCCATTGTGTTGAGAATTAGTTAGTTTTCTAGTAGAATGGAAAGTGGTTAAAGGAGTCAAAATGCGATTTAGACATTGTATTGCACAAAGAGGAAGGGAAAAAAAAAAGTTTATTGTGATTGTCCGAGAAGTGATCCATGCCATAAAAAACAGAATGGGTTGAAAATCTATAGACATATAGTTCAAGATTTAGACATTAAGGAAATACGGTCAAAGTATTTAGTTAACACGTTTTGGAGACATAAAAAACAGTCAAACACAATGTAGTTCCAATATTATGTTGATATACAAAGTAGTACTACTCTTCCTCAAAAAGACCCTTTGATACAAATGTAACAGCAAAATACACCTAGCTAATTTCAAAACCAAATAAATCTCTTATATACCAATACAGTTACAACTTACAACCACTATCAACAAATCTATGATACTAGTAAAAAGTTCACTATACAAAGAAAGCGCCAGTAGACTACAATGTGCTCTGCCCAGAACTAAAATCCTTTCTGCTACATACAATTTATCTTCAACACAATATATTGTATATAATTGCTTCCACGAACTTTAAGCCTCGATCATGTTGAACGAATACTTTGATAATAGCTGCGGGATCCCAGCTATTATGGGTCCATATGTCTACAAGCATAAGATTATAAACTTATCAATCTTCTAACAAAAGCATTTTCAGCAACACAACATCATATAAGATGAAAAGCTATTGCAATTGTCCACGAAAAAAGTAATTAGAAAGATCAGAGACAGGAGAGTACAAAGGGTGTGACTTCCTACACAAAACATATGAACCTTAGTGAAGAAAAAGCAACATAATTGGCAGTTTGGCACAATTTATTTACGATTTTAGAATTTTAGGCTCAGCACAAGATGATACTAATGTTGGGATTCACTCCAATAAACTGAAATAAAAGATTAAAATAATAACAGTTCAATCCCAAAGTAATACCACCCACTATGCTGAAACTGATCAAATTTACAAGATCTCCAACTGACTTGAATAACCAACTGAACAAGTATATTCGAACCACATTTTAGCAGGTTGAGGCTGACTAGCTGAGGGTCCAGATCCAATACATTAAAAGAGCTTCTATTTAACCATGTCAACTGTATATTAGTGGAATGAGATAAGCAATAACTTAGGAAGTTCTATGGTACCTCACAAGCAACTTCGATCTGAGTAGTGTTTAAGTTTTCTCTTTATATGCACCAAACAAACTTGTGATCTGACACTTATTGACTAAACGGACATCACGACAAAAATGGTGACTTCATTAAATAATCCAGGCAAAACGCTTTTAATTATAACACCCATCTAAGTTAAGGTTTTAAGGGAAACTACAGTACCATGTAATTCCAAATCCACACAAATAGCTGAATCATACAACAATTCAAAACAAGGTTGATACCTTGTGGTTGTCATGAACCTGACATAACGGAACAGCGAGCAACTTTAGGTTCTTTGGCACAATGAATTTTCGACTTACTGGCAACTTCACCAAAAATAGCTTGGCACACTCCTACAAACATGACAGTCAAATTAAATCAGTTAAGTACACAATTATATAGACATGAAAATCTAGTACAGTAAATGATAATACGTACGAGCCAACCTTGGGCTGCTTAATATTAGGGGGCAAATATGGGTAGAGCACGGTCTCAAAATCTGGCCTCCACCACATTCCCAAGCAATCTCCCACCTAGATTTAGAAAGATAGCTAATTAAAGTTATAATATTCTAAGATTATAATTAAAGTTAAGCAATAATAAATTAAATATTAAGAGCAATCAATGATATAATTACCTCCCATTCTACCTCATCACTGCCTTCATCAAGAGATAGCTTCCTTGAAAGTTTGCGACGCAATCCTTCAAGATCTAAATCACAAGCAAAGTAAGCAATTGTACTCCCCTACCTCTACATCTCGAAACAGTAATGAACTTATGATGTGAATTACCTGATTCACCCTGCTTTAAGCGGCCTCCAGGAAGGTCAAAAGTTCGATTCTTCACTTGTAACAATAAGAGATGTGGATGTTTAAACAACTCAACCTGAAATGACAAGTTCCTTCATCATTGTAACATTGTATTTTTACAAAATCAAGCAACTAATTCAATAAGCCGAAAGGTTAACTAGCCATCCTCAACTAACAATACCTTGGCTCCTTACACGCTTTAGGTGACACTTAACACAATCCACTATAACCAATTATATTAAAAATTTTACACTAGCGTGACATGCCCTCACACAAGACTAAAAAATTCAACATTTTACGTCTAGTGATCAAACCCTTATAGTGGTTTAAGCTAAACACCAAACCTTGTACAATACCAATGTATTTTGACTTTAGAGTTTAGAGACTTTAGACCCATTTAACAATATTAGATGTGGATATCTAAACAGCTCAACCTCAAATAATATGTTTCCTCAACATTATAACACAAGTTCACCTGCACAAGTGCACAACATTTTGTGTTCTAAGCTTCTAACAGAGATTAACAACTAATAAGCCGAAAGGTTTACTAGTTACCCCCACCTTACGATACCTTGCGCGTAAGGGTAAATCAATAGTGATTGATACTTAGCAAGTTAGCATAAACTACTAAGGGCCTGTTCTCATACGTTTATTTTCAGCCCAGCCAGTCTATGAGAACAGGCCCTAAAGCAAATCAAATTAGATTATTCAACACTAGAGTGACACAATCTCACTAAAGAACAATAATCATAGAGAATATACGTAGAATATTCTTTTTCCAGGTTTAGGAAACGAAACATTTTTCATACCAAATCTTTTATACTCCCTTTGTGTTAAGGAAAAATGTAACCCCATTCCATTTTGAGAGAAAATCCTTGTTCATATGCCATATGAACGACCTGTGTTCATAAGAGGGTATGCGCGTCATTTCGCCCCCTTTACTAAGGGTAAAGTCGGCATAGTGGAATATGGGTGTTAACTTCAGACTAACGGCGTTAACTTACCAATTGAAATGCAAAAATGGCGTTGAAGAACAACACTCCATTATCATCTTTCCCTTGTTCAATTCCTTCTCTTCTCCTCTCTTTCACTCTCCTCTGTACCCTTTTTGTTCATCTTTAATCGAACCCCAATTGGTCCAAAATTGATTGAATTTATCTTAAACCCTTATTTCTCGCTCGCTTTTCCTGAAAGCAACCACCACCTTCATCTGCAATCAATCTCGACCTCCATTGTTGATTCCCAAGATCTTCTGCTGCAATTCTCACTCTTCCTTCTGTAGAATTCTTCCTTTGACAGAATTTGAAGCGTCGCAAATTAGGAATTTCATTGCTTATAGGGTAAATTGGAGGATTCGAATTTGGTCAAATTTTGGTACAATTACCTAGCAAAGCTCAACACTTTTCAGATCCGACGAAGCTCATCTCAATGGATTGACAGCTCCTAAGATAAAATACCTACTCTTTGGGGTTAACATTGCCCTATATTTCTCACTTTTTCCTCAGGGTTTTCGTAAAATTTGGCGGCGGAGCTGCCGGAAACGGCCGCTGAAATGGTGGGTCGGGGTTCCCGTATGTCTTGGTGTTGGGTTGTTATCTGAGATGTTGGTAAAAATTCTGCCATTGTTATGTTGAGAAGGAAGGATGAGGAAGAAGGGAAAACAGACGTTAACAGTTAACAGTAATGTGCCATGTCAGCTACAAAACATGAAAATATTGAAAGATGCTTGAATATTAACGAAAATGCCATCTTATGAACAAAAATTGTTCATAAGACATGAACTGGGGGAAGCTCCCATTTTGAGGTATTTTTATTCGATATATCCATCTCTACTTTATTAATGTATGGTTGGTGCACCCGGGTGCACCCGGAAAGAACATAAGGTATATTTAAAAGAACATGGGCAAAAAAAGAACATTATATATATTTATAAAGAACATGAGCATAATATGTTCTTTAAGTTTGATGATTATGTTCTTTGAGTTTGAAATATATGTTCTTTATATTATACAATATGTTCTTTATATTATACAATATATTCTTTAATGTATGTACATTAAAAAAAAAAAAAACAAAATCAATCACTCGAGTAACCAGAAAAAAGAACATGTTCTTTAATGTATTATCATGTTCTTTTTGTAAAGACTTTATGTTCTTCGGCTAGAGGTGATCAAAGTTAGAATAGCCCGACCCGAATTGGACGGGTTTTAGGCAGAATTTTTTCGCCCCCAAAATCGGGTCGGACCCGGCCCTTAAATTTAATTTATTGGGCGGGTTTGGGAATGCGTTTTATGCATTTTAGTTGATTTTTTTACTCGACCCGAAAAGCCCGCATGGCCGGACAATTTTGGGCACAAAAACTTCGGCCCAAAATTTGGCGCGACCCGAGAAGTGAGCTGATTTTTTAACTTTGGCCCGGCCCACTCAATGATCACCTACATCTTTGTGAAACACGAACATGTTCTTTTTTGTCAAATATAATGTTCTTTTTCAAACACGTTAACACCTAAATAACCATGAAAAATAACATGTTCTTTTTGTAAAGACTTTATGTTCTTTGTAATGTGATGTTCTTGTCAAACACAAACATGTTCTCTTGTCAAACATAGGTATGTTCTTTTTCTAACACTAGCATGTTCTTTTTTTTGCCCATGTTCTTTAAAATATGTCTAATGTTCTTTCCGGGTGGGTGCACCATGGTGCACTATACTATTTTCACTACTTTATTCTACTCTTATTTTGGTTAGTAGTGGTTTCCTAGTTAGCACGAAAATCAACCACTATACCATTACTAGTGCACGAAACCTTTTTATTGCTTATAATTAGCCCTTAGAACTGCGTATATCAAAACCGTTAATAAATTCATAACAAAAACAGTAAACATAAACACAAGGAAAGAAGGATTTACCAAAATAACAGCTTGAACATTAGTCCTTAATCCACGAGCTTCATAACTAAACAAAAACAACACCCAATAAAAATAAACAACAAAATCAAATCAAAATTCAACAAACCCCAATTCAATTCAATCAAAAACAAACAGATTAGAGAGAAAATAGTACTTAGATTTCAAGCGAAGAAGCGAGTCAGCAATTGTTTCATCCTTAGTAGAAAGAGCATCTTTAGACCCAAAATAGTAGCGGTTTAAAGGGTAAACATCAACCACATAATCCGCTAATCTCTCACCCTCTTGTGGGTTGTCATCGGCGCCATTAGCAAGTACGACCACTTCTCCTTCTCTCATCTTTCTATTTTGGGAAGGTTTCAGTTGTTTACTGTAAAGAGTAAATACTGGGAGTTTAACTTTATATATGATGGTGTTGGAGAAAGAGATGATAGCGGATTTTGCGCGAAGGTTGTGGAAGAAGAAAGAGAGAGAGGGTTGATTGTGGGTGGAAGGTGGTGGAGTTGTTGTTGAGTGTTGAGGTGGGAGAAAGTGGAGTTTCTAGAGGGTGGATGGATTTTTAAACTTTTTTATGGATTGTGACATTTTGAAAGTTGTAGATGAATGTACTGTGCACTTCCTCAGCACCTGGCAGAGGTGACAGGGCTAACCAATAAATATGAGGATTAACTTATATGACTGGAAATTGGAGAAATTTAAATTTTGGCTTGAGTCCTAATACACCCTCCATCCCATTTTTAAAGGCGCGTTTCAGGAGGAAATACTAACATAGATTTGATATGTAATACATATCAAACCTTAAAATATTAAAAAGTATTGTAAAGTACATGGGGTGAGAGAAAGGAGGAGAGAGATGGGCAAGTGAAACCAGTTTTTAAATGTACTATTGAAAATTTATATAATACGGAGTATCATTGAGTATGTAGTGATATTATTTCTATACGTACTTAGTACCACTAAATGAATATACAGTACCATTGAATGAATATATAGTACCATTGAATGTTCAATGATACTTTTTGATCATCTAGTGATACTATTAATCACCCAGGTGATTGAGGGATTTTGCTCCCACCAATCGGAATGCGCCACGTGGGCCAATCAGGTTCTGCCAAGTGTTCCCCAGTTGGACCTCTCAGGGCTTGCCACGTGGCACGCGCTTATTCGTCCACCTTGGACCTATTATGCCATGACATATGGCATACTTCATGCCTAATGGAGAACCCGGCCACCTAGGCCCAATTTCCGAGGGAAGCCCAATCAGCCCAAGGTTAACCTAAACCTAGATTGACACGTTTCCCGAGGCTATAAATACCTCTCTTAATCCTCATTAAGGAGAAAGAACTGAGATTACACACATTAAACACTCTCACCTAGAGAGACCCAATCACTTTAATTTCCGCATTAATTACTCCTTAATCAAGTACTAACTTGACCGTCGGAGGCGGAGCTCCCACCACAAGGAGTCTCCGTTTGTTTTGCGGGTACAGGCGTCCGGCTCCAGTCTCGGAATTGTAACTCTCCCGCAGGACATCAGAAAACCCCGAAACATTTTGGCGCCGTCTGTGAGGAGAGTACTTCTGAGATGGCATCCACGTTTGTACCGACTCCTGAAGAGAGGCGTCCCCTAGACGACCCTCAAGTTCAGTCGGGCCACGATTCTGAGAATGAATTTGAAGTTGAAACTCACACAGCTTCAGACGGGACCCTAAGGGCCCGACGTACCCGTCCTACCGAAAGGAGGGATCGGGAACATTTTCAAGCAGGAAGCGAGCCAGCAGGCGCACCGCCTGTTCGGCAGCAGCCGACTGATGGATCTGCTCCTATTACAAGAAACGACCTCATGGCCTTCATGAGGGACTTCAAGGGAGAAATTCAAGAATTGATCACTAAGAAGTCGCCTGCTCTGGACAAAGAGCAGTCGGCTAAGAAGCCTTCCACCTCACGGAAGAGAAAGCCAGTTCAGGGGCGAGAGGCGACCCCTCATCCTAAGTCTAGGAAGTGGGAGCCATCTGCCCTTAATCTCACAAAATACCATTTTCCTACTCCAGGAAATAGGAAACCTGTTCGTCATATTCAGGCGGACGGGTCGAAGAAAACATACACAGACGCTCGGCTACTGCTAGAGCAGAAGAAGAATGACCGACTGTCAGAGTCGGCCTCTACTTCAAACTTCCAAGATAGTTTGCGAAATACCTCGATGAGGCATACTCAGTCGTACCATGAGAGTCAGACAGGCGGCACCTCCCGTCAGTCCGGCTTTCATAGCGACCAGGCGGTACCAAACTTACCGTTTGTACCGCAACAACAGTATTTCTTGCAGCCACCTCCGTTTGGTGGACCTGCAGCAAAAAATGTCCAACCTATGGACTGGCAGCTACGGTTGCTTAGACTTGGTGAACAGCCGTCGGCCTTCTCCAAGGAAATTACTGAAGCCGCTCAGCCGGCCAAGGTAAAAAATGTATTAGTAGGCGCCTATGATGGCACTACTAATCCAGAAGACCATCTGATGGCATTCACCAACCTGATGTACCTTCAAGGGTTGGATGATCCCACCTGGTGCAAGTGTTTCCCAGCGACTCTCAAAGGAATCGCACAACAATGGTTCGGCAACCTGCCGACTGGTTGTGTAAATAATTTCAAGACGCTGGCTTACTTATTCACCTCCAATTTCTCCATGAACATCCCTGCGAAGAAGACGACCCTTGACTTAGGGACAATTCAGCAGGGCGAGAAGGAGGGGCTTCGTTCTTACATCAGGCGGTTTAACCTGATGAGAATACAGATCCAGGGGTTACCGGATGAAGTAGCCTATACTGACTTTTTCAGAGGTCTCAAAGACGGGTCGACCTTCAAATTCGATTTGGTCCGAAAGAGGGTGGCGACTCTTCAAGAGGCCTTGATTGAAGCAGAAGCCTATATACAGGCGACTGATCTTTGCAGTACAAAACAGTCGGACTGGAAAAGGTCAGACAAAAGAGAGGGACGACAGAAGCAGTCGTCCAACAAAGACAAGAAAAGAAAAGAGGTCTGGGTGGCTGATTCCTCTAAACAGCCGTCCCAGAAGAAGAAAAAAGAATTCAAACCATACTCCCCAAAGTATGCGTTTAACAAGGACAGCCAAGCTTTCCTAAAAGAAATCAAGGGACGGATCTCAATTGAAAAAGCCGGTCCCCATGAAAGGTTCTGCAAGCAACCGGAACCAAGAAAAATTCTGTGATTATCATGAAGATGTTGGTCATCACACCAAAGAATGCATCAGTCTCATGCGGTATCTGGACCGCCTGGCTGAGCAAGGTGATCTTGACTCTTATGTCAAGAAATCCACGGGGAACACTTCCTCGAAAAAACAGTCGGCCAAAAAGAATCAACAGGCCGACAGCTCAGATACAGATGATGCAGTCGTCTACACCATTGCAGGCGGCTTCTCAGGAGGCGGCCCCACTATTAGGGGCAACAAAGACAATATCAGGCGGTTAGATATAAATTCCGTTCACCAAGAACGGCCCTCCAAATATTCATTTCCTGAGATTGTCATCACCGAAGAGGATCTAGGAGGGGTAAGAGGGCCGCATGACGACCCTATCGTCATTGAATGTAAAGTGGCCAACCAAAGAGTTGGCCGGATTCTCATAGATACCGGAAGCTCCTCGGATCTCATCAGTAGCAAATGTCTGTCAAAGCTCAAATATCAGACTGATTGCATACACCCGGTATCCCACCCTCTAGTAGGGTTTGGAGGAGGAGTCGTCCACCCAGTGGGACGAGTAGATTTACCCATCCGCCTGGGCGAGAAAGGGGAAGGACGACACATGGTAGTCCGGTTCCTGGTAGTAGACGAGCTCTCGTCCTACAACATGATTCTGGGACGACCAACCCTGAATAATTCCAAGGCTGTTATAATCCCATCTTTAATGCTGCTCAAGTTTGAGAGGGATAATGGAACAGTCGGTTCCCTAAAGGGAGATCAGAAGATGGCCCGAGAGTGCTATCTCTCGGATGTCAAGCCCACTGTTACGGCCGCTGGGTCAAGTGGTGGAAAAACGGACCTTGACAATGTCAAGGAGACTGCGCCTGTTCAAAAAGCAGGCGGCAAGAAGAGAAAGGCATCCCAGCTGGAGGCTGCAAGAAAAGACAGGAAATAACAATCATTGGCAGAGGGGCGGTCGGATGAATTCCGCCCTCAGCCGGCTGGTGAGCATACGGACCTGATCTTAGATGACTCTCGTCCTGACCGAACTGTCAAAGTTGGGACGGCTGCTCTAAGAGACTTGGGTCACGACTTTCAAAAACTATTGAAAGAATACAATGACATCTTTGCCTTCGAAGTCCATGAAATGCCAGGCATAAGTCCTGATCTGGCGGTACATAAACTGGCCGTGGATCCGAAAAAGAAGCCGGTAAGGCAGAAAAAGAGGAACCATGGCGAAGAAAGAAGTCAGGCGGCAGTCGCCGAAGTCAAAAAAACTACTTGATGCAGGGTTCATTCGGCAATGTTACTTCCCAGACTGGGTTGCAAATGTGGTGCTTGTTAAAAAGCCGAATGGCACCTGGCGAATGTGTGTAGACTACACAGACTTAAACAAAGCGTGCCCCAAAGACAGTTACCCTCTGCCTAAAATTGATAACCTGGTCGACTCAACAGCCGGCCATGCTTTGATGAGCTTTATGGACGCCTACTCTGGTTTCCATCAAATTTCTTTATGGAAGAAAGATCAGGAGAAGACGGCCTTCGTCACTGATCAGGGGTTATACTGTTACACGGTCATGCCGTTTGGTCTGAAAAATGCCCCGGCCACCTTCCAGCGAATGATAAACACTGTGTTCTTTGATCAAATTGGGAGAAATGTCGAGGCATACATTGATGATATGATTGTCAAGACTAAACTACAGAGAGATCATCTGTCGGACCTCCGAGAAACTTTCGCCACACTCAGGCGGCACCATGTCATGCTCAATCCCAAGAAATGTGTCTTTGGAGTTGAGTCTGGGAAATTTCTCGGATTCCTTATCAATCAGAGAGGAATAGAGGCGAACCCTGAGAAGGTACAGGCGGTCATCGACATGCAGTCGCCTCGTACCGTCCGAGAGGTTCAGAAGTTAACAGGTTGTCTGGCGACCTTGGGAAGGTTTCTAAGCCGATCAGGCGACAAATGCCTATACTTTTTCCAGGCAATTAAGAAAAAGGCAAGGTTTGAATGGGGGCCGGATGCTGAGGCGGCCTTCCAGAAATTGAAAGTTCACTTGCATTCCTTGCCAAGGCTGGTTAGCCCTTTGCCCAAAGAAGTACTCTACATGTACCTGGCCGTCTCTGATCATGCACTAAGCGTTGTTCTTCTTGCTGAAAGAGACGGCTGTCAGCTCCCGGTCTACTTTGTCAGTCATGTACTGAAGAATGCGGAGTTGAGGTATCCCTTAGTAGAGAAATTTGGTCTTGCACTCTTCATGGCTGTTAAAAAATTGAAGCCATACTTTATGGCACATGCGGTCGTCGTGTATACAGACCAACCTATCAAGCGGCCACTGACCGTCATGGAGTCGTCAGGCCGAATGATCAAATGGGCCATAGAAATACAAAGCCTCGAAGTTACCTTCGAGCCTAGA